ACGTATGCATCGCGGGCGGACGCACGCAATATACACGCACCAGTTCACTCACGCACGACGCACAATCACACTTGATGCTACTCCTCTGATGAGTCGACCTCACTCGCCGTCACGTGCACACGCAGGGACATCGACTTCTGCACCATGTCCACTGACGCACGCACGCTCACATATACACGCACCCACTGATTCATGCCACTGACAGATTCTCCTGCGCCCTTACTGACGTACGCACGCAAGCTCACGTGTCCACATGATTGTTCTCTCGACATCAACCCACTACGGCGCGACCTGGTGCCTGTTCTATGGTTACACACAGTCTTAAGCACAGTCTACGGACTATACCAATCAACCAGCTACGCACATCCCGTCATGTGCTCATCTGCTCGCCACGCGCACGGTTTGATCTGCGTGTAACTCAGATACTTGGAGATATCTGGTTGTACGTTTTACAGTATTATCAAGGCATCGGGCATGGGAAAAGCATTACAGAAATGCAAACTTATTGTTTGCCGGAATGCACAATGGCGCACGAAAAATCGCTGGAGGCTCCCGATCGGTCATTGCAAGAATTGCGTGGAAACATCAGACCATTTGGGAACGTGTTAATATTGCTTGCAGGTTATTTCAGGCAAACATTACCCGTAATTCCTCGATCGACACCTGGGGACGAAATGAATGCTTGCCTGAAGTACTCTAGTTTGTGACGACACGTGAAGATATTGAAATTAACTCCAAATATGCGTGTAGAGCTACAAAACGATCGATCAGCTGAGATTTTCTCACATCAATTGATGAAAATTGGGGACGGAAAGGTGCTGGTTGATCTGACCTCAGGACGAATTTCATCGCCTCCTAATTTTTGCAATTTAGTGACGTCAACAAAAGAATTGGTTGAAGACGTATATCCCTACATTGAAAACAATTATAAGAATCACGAGTGGTTGAATGAACGCGCTAGTGATTAATGAATGATATTTCGCAGCCATATCACGTGGGTAATGTTTGGGAAGGGCAGATAGTGGATACTGGTTGCTTCATTGTCAGTCGAGTTACAAGTTTGGTGTGACGTGCTACATGCTAATGCAGTTTTGGCAGTGATCTATTTTCAAAATATCTGAAACCCTTGGTTTTGATCTTGTAGATGAACCGATAGAACGCACACGGTACCAAATCGCTAGTGACGTTTGTGCTCATGTTCAAATCTCACTGGAGTCATGGACGTTTACCATTTAAATCAGTTGTACAGTTTGCTTGTGGCACAGTTCTTATTAAGGGGTTGGAATAGGAATATGCGACCGTAGCCTTCGTTCGATGAGATCATTATTCAGTAATATATCCTAAGCTATCGTGCATAGTGGTACGATAAATTTCACTCGGAAGGTTGTGCACTAAATCGATTTGACCGTTAAAATAACCCTTAACCTGAATCTCCGTTTTAAGCAGCCCTCGCAAGGTCCAGCAATAAATATTGCACCCCCCCCCCCCTAAGGACATTCATGAAAGAAAATTAACCAAAATAGAAACCAAACACGTTTTGATGTCAAACCCTTGTCCAAGTTTTGAATTATACCGTTTTTGTCAGACAAATCTCTTTCTCAACCATTCGTCGACATTGCGGTGTATCTGAATAGAAGTAAACTTGTTCGTCAGCCTTTTTAAGTGTAATCCAGGTCGTAATTCGGACGGTATACAACGGCGTAGGCGGTGCATTTCCATATTTCATATTTTCCACAATAATTCTCGTTTTATGGTCAAGTATGACAGACCGAAAGTATGTGAATGATCAGTAATTATGTCATTCACTAACACTAAAAACCGGTTGTAGACGGTTCCGCTGTCGCCCAGCTTACCGCCCTTCCTGATCTATTGAGGCTTTATGTGATTACCACTTTAAGTCTCAGGATCATGGTTGCCGGTTTTTCTTCACACTAGAAATCATGAAAATACACATCATACACACTCGCTCTTTTGCTCGCTCTGCTCAATCGAAAAACAAGCACGAACTCATCGCCCTCATTAACATTCGCGAAATGAACCATCATATCGATTCTATACACTAATTCATCCAGTCCTTTTCTGTTGCCCCTATTTTTGACCGAAAATCTAATCTCTCCTTCATCAGACGCCATCCACCTTCAATTCCCAAACTATACTTTTCATCCAAAGCGGGCGTCTGTGCCTTTGTCCACCAGTCAGCCGCCACATCCAGATTCCAGAACCTTGAATTTTCCAACTGTGAATTTCAGTTGATGTGGCTAAAACTCCGACTTCCTTATTTTACTCACTACTTTTGTGTTGTTTACCGTTCACCCAGCAGTAGCGACCCATCGATCTTTGATTTCTTATCTTCGAACATTGAGCGCTTGTTTGTTGCGGGTCCCAACTGCCATATCACCATCTTAGTAGACTTTGATGTTCACAATCGAGATTGGCTGATTCACTTATGGGACACTTCGGCTCTGGGTCGCGTAGCCGAACATTCCGCCGTGGTCAACAACCTGTGCCAACTTGTTGACCTCCCCACACGTATTCCTGATCGGGGTAGCGATCGTGCCCATACCCTTGATCTTATTCTCACTTCTGTTCCTTCTCTGTTCTCGGGCGTCTCTGCTCTCCCTCCACTTGGCTCATCTAACCACTGTATTATTTCCTGTTCCATCAGTTTTACTCGCCTCGATCCTCCACCCACCTCAAGACAGTTTCTGGTGGTACAGTTCAGCCAACTGCAATGGGTTTAGTGATTTACTAGCCTCCTATTCTTAGAATGATTGCTGCTTTACTTCAGACGTTTCCGTTTCTGACTTGAGTGACATTGTTCTTCAACGTGTGCAACTTCTTAATATTCACTTTTCCAAACCCGGCAAAGCCGAATCCTCCGAGTGGTTCAACTACGCATGTGATCATACTGTACGTTTGAATCGTGCCAGGTTTCACCGCTAGTGCCGCTTGCGCACTCCCGACTTCCACCGCCGCTTCGCGCAAGCCAGGAACAGATTTTCGTCAGCCATACAGAGAGCCAAAGAACGCTTCGTCCGCTGGAAAACCAAACGCTTACTCCCATCTGCCACCGGTAGCCGAACATTTTAGTCCCTCGTCAAAGTAGTCTCCCGCAATTTTTCTCTTTCTAATTTCCCTCCCATCTGTAATTCCTCTGGTGATCTTGTTTGTGAATCACACGAGAAAGCTGAGGTTTTTGCACCCCGGTTTGTCTCCATTTCCACCTTATCCAATTATCCTACTCCTCCGGTTCCTTCTCTTCCCTCTGTCTCCCATTTCCAGCCTCATATTAGCACCGTAAAGATCCGCCAAGTGCTGCGTTCTCTGGACGTGTGCAAACTACCCGGTCCTGACGGTATACCTCCAATCGTCCTCAAAATGTGTGCCTCTGAATTGGCCCCTCTCTTACGTCGTCTTTTCTATCTCTCTCTGCAGCTGTCTACTTTTCTGATTCCCTGGAAACACACCGTGATTTTTCCTATTCGCAGACCCGGTGATCTTTGTGACCCAAATGACTATCGTGCTTTTTCCATCACACCTGCTATTTCGAAAGTGTTTGAAACTGTCATATCCGACCAATTGCATACGTTTCTCGAACGCGAAGAACTACTGAGTGGTCGCCAATACCGTTCCACCGGTAATGTCCTAGCTCTCGTCTCACACTCCTGGTCGGCTGCACTCAACAATCACGGAGAAACACACATGGTGTTTTTCGATATCTCCGAGTTTGACGCGAAGGTGTTTTGGTGAAACTGCCCTCGTTCGGGACCCCTCCCCCGTTCTCGTATTGTGGACATCAAGTTTCCTCCGTCCGAGCTGCTGGGGTTCTGTCCCGGCCATTTCCTTCGCATAATGTCGTTCCCGAAGGTTCAGTACTTGGGTCCACCCTGTTTCTTTTATTTATTAGTGATCTATCCATAAATCCTAACCCAATCCATTCCTTTGCCGATGATGCCACCCTTCCTTCTTCCCTTTACCGCACTCTCCACCATGCCAGCACCGACATCGACCGTGACCGCGGTGCAATCAGTGCATCTTTAGAGTCCGATCTGGGGTACATCTCCTCCTAGGGATCCCGCAATCATGTTGCGTTTAATGCTTTCAAAACTTCTCATCTCTCAATTTCCCTGAAACATCATTCATTCCTCCCCCCCCCCTTCATTTATCCTTTAATTCAACTATGCTGCCTGCCACAGAGTCCATCTCTTCTTGGCTCATCTATAATATCCTCTCTATGTTGATCCGCTTTCATATCTCAGCTGGCCTCTCATGCTGCGTGCAAAGTTGGTTTTCTTTTTCGCGCCAGACGCTTCTTCACACCAGCTCATCTTCCGCCGTTCGAAGCTCAAATCCGCCCTGCACTTGAATACTGTAGACACTTGTGAGGTGGAGCTTCGTCTATCTCTCTTTCTCTTTTCGACTGGGTTCAACGTAAGGTCTTCCGGCTGATCGACGACCCTTCTTTAACCTCCAACCTAAAGTTACTAGCCCATCGTCGGGCTGTTGCTTGGTTGTCTCTTTTCTACCGATACTATTTTGGGTTTTGTTCTTCTGAGCCTGCTTCGGCGGTTCCTCTTCCCAAAACGTTTTCCCGACTATCACTCACCCAGGCAACCAGTCATCCCTTTCAAGTTTCTGTCACTAGATATAGCATTTCTGTCTTTCAATGTTCTTTCTTTCCTCGGACCGTTAAGTTATGGAACACTCTTTCTCTTCCTGTCTTTCCACCCACTTACAACGTTTCTCTCTTCAAAAGCAGGATCAATAAACTGGTTCTAATGTGAATGTTCCCCCACAACCCACTTTTACAGTGTCATCTGAATATGAGGTTTACTCCTAATGCTGTAATTCACTTTATGTGTAATAGGAAAATTTTAGTCGACATGCCTGAGGTATATGAACTGCACTTTGATTGGTTAGTATAAACAGCCTTTCTTTTGTATTTCCTCAATCATTCATTCAATGTTAACGTATTTGCTGACCTTTATTCTGTATTCTAGTATCGTGGGCGCGTGTTTTGGTTCCCGCACAGCATGGACTTTCGTGGTCGTGTCTATCCTTGTCCGCCCCATTTCCATCACATGGGTATGCACATTGCTCGAAAATTGTTCGTTGTCCATTTGCGTTTGTAATTTCTTGCCTGAGGTATATATATATATCGTCATTGTCTTTTCGATATCAGTTGGCCAACTAGAACATTCACACAATGCAATTGAATACATCGTGCGCACCTGGATAGCTGTATAATCACCGACGAAGATGCCTCTTGATAGATAGTTTCGATAGTCTAGCTGGGTATGCCAAGGGAAAACCCTCGTGTCGTCGATTTGACATTCCGTTAAAACTAAAAGGTCGTGTTTGCTGCGTCACAGCGGATCGATGTTGCTCCTGTACCGTGGTGATCGGGTTTACGTGCTACGATGACCCCGAGGGCTATTCCGATTGGAGCGCAAGGCACACCTTCGGGGTCATCCATATCGGACAGGCCGAGGGCAAGTAGCCAGACAAAACCAATGTGGCGTTCTTAGAGGGCGTGGAAAACTCTTAACATAAAAGTCACGGAAGCTCATAGATTGCAGTGTGACGTGCCCGAATGTGGCTCGTCACTAAATAAGGTCATCGCCTCTTGCCTCTTACTCAGCTGCCCCGAAAAGTTCACTAGAACGCGTTGGGCATCCCCATGGCAGACCGCCGTACGCAGGGCGTATGAACCGATCGTTCGGTCACCAATCCCGACAGACAAACGTCTTGTCACTTGACAGGTAACACTTCGTTTTTTCACGGGCTGGAGTTGGTTCCTCGAACAAAGAGCCGAGTGACGCTGGTGACCCCAATTCGCACCTCATTCCCAAGATTCTTCATGAACCGTTCCTCTACACACACCGCTGTTTTTCAGGTGCCATTCGGGACATCCATGAAACCGGTTCATCCTCTAACAGGAGCTAGCCGCGTAAAGGTATGTAAGTTACAGCTTATTCATTCTTACGGACGGATGTGTAACTTAGAATTTGCAAATAGATGGTGCTCGTTGATTACCGTTGTCTGCTGAATCTGCGAACTGTGCAATAGATAGACTTCTCATTTCTTATCTCATCTGAGTGAATTCAGCTGGCTGGGACAGATCCCAGTCGCCATTGCAAATTTTGGGAAACTCTTCCGACTCATACAACCTGGGTCAGAAAATGACACCCTCGCCTTCCTTTTTTACGGGACGATGGCGGCCATCTCATACTGTGGACCAAACAAAAACTTCGAAGGTAGATTGTAACGGGTCCCCGATGCAATACTTCACGATTGATAACACGCAGTTCCTCAGATCTCGCGATACGACTGGTAAACTTAACCCCGGATAACCCATACACGCAATGAAGAACACAGAAGTCGAGGCCTTCAGCTCAGCTGTATGTTTAGTGCTGGACCAAAGGCGAATGTACAATTATGCTTGTCTGCTTTATATGCAATTTGTGTGATCTCGCAAATGAAAACAACACCGTGAAAAGGTGAACTTTACGGTTTTTCGCAGCGTCTAGTCGCGCGCAATTCGGATTCAAAGTGGATCTCGAATACCTCCGAAAGTGGGCAAGATAGACAGAAACTGATCACCAATTTGAATTCTCTGGCATAAACTCACCGGGTGGACAGATGTTGGTTGAGGTATCTTCGCGTACACAAAAGGCGCGTTTGGCTTTTGCCAACCACATCCACCTGTGGCGCCGGCGTAACATACGGTTATCAGCAATTCAGAGCAAGACTTCGTTGACGTCTTCCGTAAACTGAGTGCAGTTCATTCAAACACGGCCTTCCGTGGAGCACGGGTCTGGTAACAGGTTCACATTTTTGACATTATGGTAAGCAGTCGTCCAGACGGTAGTAGTAATGTCAGTAGGTCGGTATACTGAAAACACACATGGCTAAGACTACCTACATTTTATGAGTATCGTTCCCCTGAGTTATAAACATTGGCTCGTGAGAACCATGTATGAAAAAGCCCGCAAACTCTGTACGCCAGATATGCTCAACTCCGAAACGGAACTGCCGAATAACGCGTTCCGGTCAAATGGCTATCCACAAAATTTCATCAATAGACATTGTACAGCGCGTAATCAAGGTGAAAGGCCATCGTCAGTCTCTAAATGTCAGGTTTTCTTACAGCTGCCATTCAAGGGCGATGACACAGCCGAACTGTTCGCAGACCGCCTCAAATCGGTAGTCAAACAATCATACAATGTCGCTGAACCTGTCCTACTCTGCACATGCAGACAGATATCCATCCCCCCAATCAAACAACCGTTATCGGTTCATGCCAAATCACACCTATACGTGTTCATGCGTGGGTGCTCGGCCACCTTGCAAGGCCGAACTGAACGGTTACTTCGACTGAGATATATATATATATATATATATATATATATATATATATATATATATATATATATATATATATATATCACTCTCAGTCGAAGTAACCGTTCAGTTCGGCCTTGCAAGGTGGCCGAGCACCCACGCATGAACACGTATAGGTGTGATTTGGCATGAACCGATAACGGTTGTTTGATTGGGGGATGGATATCTTTCTGCATGTGCAGAGTAAGATATATTCAAGCATACGAGTTTAATCCTTCTGTTTCATCTGCGTTAGGGTTGGCTAGTTTGAATGGGCATCGAGGACGAAGCAGAACATTAGCTGGTGATAGCGGGTTCGATGAGACCCGGAAGCCAGTGGGAGTCGGTCAAGAGAGAACGTGGCCAGGATTTCTTTGAGTCGTACTACAGCGGGCACGGTCGACCGAAGAACCCATGGGAAGTAAAGATTGAGGGAAAAGCGGAAAGGGAGTGGAAATTCGAGAACAAGTTGTGCACGGCGTAGGATAGTGTTTGTTTGTGCCCATAGAGCAGCAGTCAATCAAAGCGGTAGAGTATGTCATGGTTGTTTGCGTTGCGAGCTAATGTACTACTCGGTCACCTAGTCCACAGCGGGCAGTTATATTCGAGGATGCACCTCTAGTGTTTGTGCAGCTAAGCGCGTTCTGTGGGGCAGCAGGATCAGTCCAGACGAGCCAGTGGTAAATTGATTCGTTCATTGGCCTCATCTGGAAACCACCGGGAGCCAGTGACTGAATGCTCAGTTCATGCGCCCTTCGGATGAGGCCAAACATCCTGGGTGCCCAGTACACCCCTCCACCACAGATGCCGGTGAGCATATTGTTGTACGTCTCATGTGACACCCGTGGTTGGTTTGAAATCAGGGTCTAGTCATCTCCCCCAGGATTGAATATCAGTCAAACCACGGGAATAAGTCTGGTTAGCATCGCATCCAAACTGCTTGCTGGTATTATTCTCCACCGCTCATCTAACGCCTGTGAACAATGCTCGCGCGACAATCAAGCTGGGTTCAAACCTGGTCGAGGTTGTATTGATCACATCTTCTCTCATTGACAGATTTTAGAACATGGATACATTTTCCGTAGGTCCACTTTCTCTGTTTTTCTTGATCTTAAAGCGGCTCTCGACACAGTTGACCGTACAGTTTTCTGGCGCTGCCTCTTACTGAAGGGTGTACCAGGAAAATTCATCTGTCGTAAAATTACTTTGCATTAATAGCCGAAGCCGAGTTCGGGCTTACGGTGATCTTTCATCCGAGTTCACCACGAGAAGTGGTGTACGTCACGGCTGCCCCCTCTCTTCTGTTCTCATTACTTTGTGGTTGAAATGGTCCTAGAGACCTCACTCTTGTCAGGTGAGAATAGCGGCATTGACCTTTTCCCGGATGGAAAAGTATCCGACCTTGAGTGTTCTGACGACATAGTTCTTCTAAGTGAAGATCCAGTAAGTTGCAAGCTTTTCTAGACAGCTTGACGGGTTGCGTAGCAATGTTCGGTGTGCGTTTTGCACCTTCAAAGTACAAGATGCTGCTGCAGGACTGGGTTGGTCCAACGCCGAACGTTTAAGTGTCTGGGGAGACTACAAACGTGGCAGACAAGTTCTGTTATCTGGGCAGCTGCATCTCACCCGGAGGTCGAAGAGAAAGTTCGTTTAGCATTTGCCAACCTGAGTCATCTGTGGCGTCGAAATGACACCCGTTTAGCTATCAAGGGTCGAGTGTACTCTGCAGCAGTGAGCCCGTGCTTCTGTATGGTTCGGAGACATGGCCACTGAGGTTGGGGGACATACAAAGATTGCCGGTATTTGAACACCGGTGCCTTTGTAGTGTTGCTGGAATCTGGTGGGGGCACCGTGTGAGCAAAGCTGACCAGGCTTAGATGGTTGGAACGTGTCACGCATATCCCCTGACAGGATCCCTGGGCATGCTATGTTTGCTGAGGCGGGCACCGGTTGGAAGATGAGTAAGGGTGGTCAGTCCATGACGTGGAAGAAAGGTATGAAAATCCTAACTAGTGGACTTGGCTGTGTAGGGCGTGTTAGACTTCCTGGGTGGGGTCCAAGATCTCCTCCGACTCAATGGTTAGATACGTTGGGGGGTATGACCAGATGCCGTGTTCAGTGGCGCTCTTGCATTCACAAACTTTCTTCATCGATTTAATTCCAATATTGTAATTCTCCTCTTACTCCTTTCGTACTGTTTTCTCCTTCATTATTTCCCTTTGAGGTTGCCGCTAGGAGATAGCAACCAAAGCCACTGCACCCATTGCACGGTTAATGGTTGTCTGAACTAAACTGGACTGAATATCAGTCAGTCAACCCAGTGGACAGCGCTGGCCATTCGCTTTCACCTTCTCACTTTACTGAGAACATCTCCACTTCGAGAAGGCAGTGAGTAGGAGCATTTCGAGAGGCGTTCAGGACGAGTAACCATCTCGAAGCCCGACACCTCGCTTCCACGCGTTAACCATACTGAGCCATTTAGAGACCGATACCTTTCTTTGGTGAAACTGGTTCCCAAGTGATCAAGGCCTGCTGTACGTTTACATGACGGACTTGAATTCGTTGAGTGCGGGAGTTGGGTAGGTGTATATTAGACGCAAACTGTGCTGATTTTGTTGTCGGGTGAATGCGCATAGTAATGTACCAACCACCTGTTCAAAAGGGTGCTCACGTTCGAACAAGCTGTGTATATGGGACCTGTTGTTAAGATTCCTAGCTGGTGTGTAGGTCACTCCGGTCACTAGGAAGGCTCAGGGTGCGTCGCTTACTGGGGACCGCTGCATGATTAATGCGCATTTTAGATACAATATTCATGAAGATAAGATACACAGGAGTAATGTGCGAAACTGTATCGCCCGTATTATTCGATTTTTTACGAAGAAAACATCCTGCCTTGCTGTGAGTTGTTCACCACAAGTGGTTCGTATGCCTTTTGGATCATGTGACCATCCAGGATGCTCAACGTATCTTTGGAGATAGGTATTTGAAAGGACCGGTGGCTTGTTCTCGGCTCATTCGCTGATTTGCGAATCTTGCTTTAGTTACCCAAATATGTGCATAACAGTCAACTTACTTGTGGCGAGCGACATTCGTACACGTTACAGTGCCGTCTTCAGTTCTTTGTGGTTGTTTGATGGTTAGGGAATCTGCCGTTGCCAAATGAAAACCAAGCACATCCTGAGGAAATCGCCGCTGATCGTCCACGATCACCCGTTGGGGTAGTTGGTGCTTCCTTACTCGCAGCCAACTACCAGAGTGACCATCCTCCTATCCGCAACCTAGAAACGCATTCAGTAGCATTCGGGTATGGTATCCGCAACCGATCTCCCGGCTAATGGCCGCGAAGCTCATCGTACTCAATGACCGTAAAGTGTATCATTCGCTGGTGTTACTGGTTAGCAACGCAGCGTTTCGTGACAAACGCTTCACTGTCTTGCTGTGGGAAAGTTAGGTTTATCCTCATTTCGTAGGCATTGATTTGCTATTCTGCTGAAATATATTGTGATGCAACTGACCTCGCATTTTCATATCCACCACCGACATGGCCCGTTAAAAGTTTGTTCCACAATTGCACCAACAGTTGTATTACCACTTGTGGTTTGTTCATTTGACAGTTTTTCGTTACTGATTTTAATTCTAATCGATTTCTGTTTAAGCTTTTCTCATTATTCTGTTGTGTTCCTTCTCCCTGATAATTCTAGGTAGTGACATTTCTCGTGGATTAATAGTATTTGCAAAAGGTATGCCTCTTGGTCCAAAAGGATTGGATTGGCTAAAGATTCATTTGGTCAACTTAACTGGATTGAAGAAAAGGTACGCGACTCCAAGTTTCGATTGAAGCAATACTGAAAAATATGAAATTTTTCAACCAAGTTCTGGGTTGATATGAAATTTTTTCACTGATCCGAGCCTCTCGGTTCCAACTGTCATTATCGTCGAATTCTGAGTAAATACGTCGGTTTATTTATCATCACTATCCCCGTCGTAGAAGTTATTATCTCGTAAATAATCAACAGCGCAGCATACAGATATCTTGTTACATCGACTCACTACCAGATGCGAAGATATTGCCCAGATGAGCATCATGTATGGACAGTTCGCAGACGAGCAGTGTGCGCTTCTGCTTGAAAGCAAAGCCATCATGACGAGACTACACATTGATGTGGTGTGATGGCTTGCGTGCCTCCATGACCCAAAGAGTCATGCAGTCATGGCTAGCAGGTCGGTGAGTAGAGGCCAGACCAAGTCCACTCTCTGAACCAGTTGATATGCAACATTTGATTCTAACCACTATGCCCCTGGAGATGACATTGCAGCAAATAAACACGGAGGGAAACAGTTTCCCGGTCTAAAAACCTCTACTATATAGACGTAGGAATGAAGTACCCGGGGTTTCTCTCGACGGTGGGAGAAATCATCCTGCTTCGTTGGACAGATATCGCCCGCCTAATCTGGGCAGTCTCTAGCCCTATGTTTTGCTTGTTTCATTAGGTGCATGGGGCTGATGACTGAATCCTAAGAGCGGATCGATAACAAAGCACCAGCGACGACAGGAGAGAACGTATCCAACAATCAGGTTTCACGTAACAGACCAGAAGAATTTCCTTCACGGGTTCTTCGGTTACGTTTCCGTGCTGGGTTAACATCCCCACTGCCTTGTGGGTCAGACCTTTAAGTCCAAGGCCCGGGTAGGGTCCCCAGAGAAAACCCGTTTCCACGGTGTGAGCAGCCACGAGGTATGATTTGCCCAGAAACCTGTAGCATCTTTCCTGTAAGAAGCCCGAGAAATGGCCGTAAGAGGTGGTGGATTGCGAAATGTAGGGAAATGTAAAAGGCTGAGTCGATTGGCGATACTCGCAATCTTTATCGTTCGTTCAGAAATATTGGCCCACGAAAGTCCGGCGTAAGTGAGTCAATCAAGGAGTCCGACAGTTCACTGACTCACTCTCGGGAACGTCGTCTGGATCATTGGGTGGAGCAGTCTAAGGGACAATTCAGTTGGTCCACTTCAACGGTGGGTCTTCCGAATATATCTGCCAGGGAACCGATGCAGGTAGATATCACTCGTCCATCGGGAATGGAGGTTTTGCGGGAAATACGTTACTTGCACAAGTTCAAAGCTGCTGAGCCTTATGGGTTGTCCTCGCGAGCTTCATTCTCCACCGATTACTTTGCGCCTGCGAAACGTGAACGCATGAGAATCGAGCTGAATTCGGACGCGGTCGGGGTTGTGTCGACCATATCTTTACTGTTCGGCAAATCTACGAGCACAGACACATCTTCCGTTGTCCGACAATCTCTGACTTTGATTTGAAAGTGGCGTTCGATTCAGTTAACCTCACAATTCTCTGGCGGTAGATTTTAATAAAGGGTGTCCCAGAGGAATTTATCTCTTGTTTCCAATGCTTGTCAGGGTTGCCCTTTTTCGCCCTTCCTCTTTAGTTTTGTAATTGATTTGATTGTCGAGGTAATCCCATCCTCGTGTGAGAATATGAAGCACCGGTCTTTGCTCAGGCAATAAACTGTGTGACTTGGAATACGCGGACGATATTGTTTTTCTGAGTGAAGATCCGGGTAAGTTGCAAGCTCTCTTATGAAGCCTAAACAACAGTGTAAGAATGTTTGGGATGCGTTTTGCACCTTCAAAGTGTAAAATGGTGCTGCAGGACTGAGTTGCCTCAACACCAAATCTCTTGTTGGCAGGGAAGCTCTAGCTGAATTAGATGTTTGGTTACCTGCGTAGTTACATCTCATTGGGTGGACAGATGTCGGTTGAGGTATCTTCGTGTATACAAAAGGCGCTTTTGGTTTTTGCCAACCCCATCCATCTGTGGCGCCGGCGTGACATCCGATTGTCTGTCAAGGGTGGGGTGTATAATGTGGCTGTTAGGTCCGTTGTTTTGTACGGCTCATAAACATGGCTGCTAAGGGTAGAAGATAGGCGAAGACTGTCGGTTTTGAGCATTGATGTCCCCGTGGCATTGCCCGAATATGGTGGGAACACCGAATTAGCAATACTGAGATTGGGCGTAAGATGGCAGGAACCAGAGGTCAGCCTGTGGATCAAGTACTGAATCTAAACAGGTTAAAGTGACTGGGACATGTCTTGTGTATGCCCGTCATTGGACTTCTTCGGAGTACGCCCTTTTCCGATGCAGTTATTAGTTGTAAGGTAGGTCGTGGTGGTTAGACCGCGACATGACAGAAAGGTATGAGAACCTTCACCAGTGAACTTGGCGAAGTAGGGCGTGTTGGACCTCCAGGTTGGAGTCCACCTGACCCACTTACCAAGTGGTTAGAGACTTTTAGTGATACGGCTAGGTGTCGCGGCCAATGGCGTAGTTGTATTCGGACTGTTTCTTTGTCTTCGTGATTTCCGCCTTATACTTAGATTTTTTGGATCCTTTTCACTTTGTGCTTTTATTCTTATCAACATCTACTGGACGATGCTGGAAGGTAGCGACCGAAACTAGAACACTGAATTGCGAGGTTAATTATTGAAGAAACTGCAAGTGAACTCAAAAGCAAGGTGAAACAATAAAATGAAGCATCCGTTTCTCCATATCTTGTTCCATCACATTTGAAAATGACACGTTGGCGAATCAACTGTTTCGCAAGTGTGCCGGAAAGATTCTTGATGAATTTAGAGCACTGCAGTGTGTTCATTTCTCGAACCACTTCAATCTTTCGAAGTCAATCTTTTCAACGAGATAATTGAGAACAAAAGAAACCAACTCATGATCATCATCGTACAGTGGTAATTACCAGGGCAAGACCCACTGATCACTGCTTTTCTCACCATATTGCATGCAGCAATAGAAAGACAATATACAGAGGGTGCCTTTCAAGTCGAGAAAAACCATTATTGTCGGTCGACGGTGTGTCATACGCGTTACGAATTATTTACGAAAAATAAAAATATCTGGTCGACGCATCCACGACCTAGGCAGGATTCGGTCTGTTGTTCGCGCGCGTTTCCCTTGCGAGCCGGGGTCAAACGACGCAGCAAAATCAAGGCTAATAAATTGGTAACAATCGGAATAAAACTGATCACGATGACCACTATAATTCGTGCGCATTCTTTTCTTGAAGATGGATACAATCAGTGATTCGCCCCATAATAACGGAATATGCTCCTCGTTCCAAATGTCACCGAGCGAGGTGGTAAGTGATTTTATCAGCGCTCCACCACCCACTTTGAATAGAACTGGGACAGGAAGGGAGGAGTTCATCGGGTGCGGTCGCTTTTCCATGCGTCTGTAATGCAATGCTCCATTCTACTTCCACTTCCGATGGAAGCTCAAGTGATACTCCCCAAGGAATCGCAGTTGTTGAGGTCGGCGAAACTACATTAGCGCACGGCCAGCTAGACTGCTGCTAGAAGTATTCGGCGCAACGGTCCAGCCTTTCCTTTTTGCCGTGAATAGGCTCTCCATTTCTGTCGTATGTCGTTTCACTGACAGCGGTTCTTTGTCCACCGGTGTCGCGAGTAAGTTTGAGCAGTCTTTAACAGTTGCCTGAAGCAGCTGCTATTTCCAATTCTTCGGTCACTTTGACCCATCAAGTTTCGCGATCATTCTTAACACTTTTTGCAGCTTGGCCTTGTAGATGTCTTCGTATCTTATTCATCTCCTTACAGTTCGAGAGCTGACGCTTTTGATCCATTAGACTGATAGACTTTTGAGAAATCCAGTGTCTTTGATGGACATTGGATATAGGTCCACAGGCGAGACCTTCTGCCACGTGCATTTCCTGCTGGATATGGGCCCAATCCCCATCCACATTAATGTTCGTCGTGGATCCTAGCTCAAGTGCCAACTTCTGTTCACAACTGGTGCTAAATTCTGAATCACACAAACGTTGTACAGCAAACCGGGTTTTGCGCTTTGCGTCGATGGCCATGGAGCTGGAGAGATAATCGCAATCAAACTAATGCATGGTCCGACTCTACATACGTGAACCAGTAAGATCTGCACTTCTGAACAGAACTGCGCCATCGGTAGCTTACTGCTATTTGGTTGGTCTGACTCAAAGTGATTTTATCAACACCTCACCACCCAGTTTGAAAAGAACTGGGGGAAGTTCGTCGGGACCTGCCGCTTTCCCCCGCCTTAGTAATCGAATACATGACTCTACTTCTATTTCCGATGGGGGCTCAAGTGATACCACCCAACGAGTCACAGTTGTTGACACGGGAGTAACTGCACTAGCATGCGGCCAGCTAAACTGTTCCTCGAAGTACTCGGCCCATCGGTCAAGCCTTTGCTCTTTGCTATGGATGGGTTCTCCATTTCTATCCCAAATCGTTTCACTGACCTGAGTTCGCCGTCCACCAGTGTCACGAATAAGTTTGAACAGTCTCTGACTGTTACCTGAAGCAGCTACTATTTCCATTTCTTCAGCTACCTTGACCCACCAATTTTCGCGATCATTCTTAAGGTTTTTCGTAACTTGTCTTTGCAGCTTTCTCCGCATCTTATTCATCTTCTTACGGTTCGAAAGCTGACGCTTTTGCTCCATTATACTCAGCGACTCTTGCGAGATCCAGTGTCTTTGATGGACAACGGATCGAGGACCACAGGCGAAACCTGCTGCCACGTGCATCGCCCTTTTGATATGAGCCCAATGCTCATCTACATTACTGTTCTCCGTGGATCCTAGCTCATATGCTAACTTCTGCTCATAACGGGTGCGTACTTCTGGATCACACATACGTTGCACGGCTAATCGGGTTTGCGGTTTGCGACGATGACCACGGAGCTGGAGAGATAGTCGCATTAAAACTAATGCATGGTCCGACTCTACGTACGTGGACCAGTAAGATCTGCACTTCTGAACAGAACTGCGCCATCGGTAGCTTACTGCTATTTGGTTGGTCTGAACCAAAGTACCTGTAGAGTTCGAGCGCCATGTGGCTGTGCGACGCGAGCTGTGTCGGAAATTAGTGTTGGTCAGGAATAACCGATTGTCTGCCCAGAACCGGAGAAACCCGTCCCCATTATTTGTGCGTTAAGCTGGTAAGGCACAACGTCCACTTAATCAAGCTTCTGATACACAAAGTTCGTCAACTTTTGCAAATGTTAGAGCCTTTGTTCCTGCATACGAGTGGTGAGTTCGTCATAGAACTCATCTTTCTGCGCGTCGGAACTGCAGTGTGTTTGGAGCGTATGTCGAGATCACAAACAAGCTGCGCATAACACAACTATCCTTTCGAACGCCAACTGACCCTTGGAATCTCACAGCACATAAACAACTGTTAACAGGGATCCAGTGTTTGAGGGCAGCCTCAGCCTTGTCAGTCAAGACTATTCCTACACCACGTTGACCCACAGCTCTAGCTGCTTCGTCTCCCGAAATGCGCAGAAAATACCTCGATGAGATACCAGGAGCAGTTAGTTGAATTACACTGCTCGAATCCTGGATACGCGTTTCACATACACAGCTGACATTGGTCGCCAGTTCATCTTTTGAGGGCTAGGCACGCCAGCTGACCGGCTTGCATGAGTGCATGCACATCAAAGGAGCCGAAATTTAGAAGCTGACGAGTCTTCAGAAAATGTGAGTTATGAGATAGAGGATTATTCACGACACTATTTGACAGTGAACCGTTGCGAGTATCGGGCGTTTTATCAATAGAAGCAATAAAGGTGGATAGAGGGGGCAATGGGTGGTGTTCGGGGACAGAGACAAAGGTTGAGTGAAAGAAAGAACAGGCTTGACATGATTAGGATAAATCTTGGTTACTGGTGTTTCTGTCTCCCGTGAAGATGTGATCACCGATTAATTATTTTTCCTTCCGTATGGCTGCCCACAGTATGATACGAATGTTGTTACCACGAGCTCCAGTTCACCTATTAACTGCTGGTTATTAAACCTTTGCTTTTCCCAAGAAAGTACAATAAAATATATATGCATCAATCCCGCACACTACTCGCAAGTAATTGCGTGATATATATATATATATATATATATATATATATATATATATATATATATATATATATATATATATATATATATGTGTGTGTGTGTGTTGGACAAATCTAGCAAAGAATCGGTACGGTTTTATCTTCGTCAGTTGAACATTTATCAATTTCATTGAATACTTCGATTCATCTTTCAGATGCTCCAATAATGAACGTCTCGAATTCGCAAACACCATTTTGGACGATGTTCTAGATTCTGCCATTAATCCTTTCGAGGTAAGCAAACCGACTCCGGGTGAGCGACGCAGTCCCTTCTAAGTTCATATCCATGAGTTCCTCGTGCTAGATGAACAAGTTCATTCAAACCTTCGTCTGTTCAATTTCTATTTGGATTTTTTTTCCACTTCGTCTGGTTGCTTCTTTCCGACAAACGGGGGTGATATTGTGAATTAGCATTCAAAGTAGAAATACAAAGATTTTCGGTCATGGGTTGGCTAAATCGAAACTGCCGGGTTTTCCACTAAGTAATTCGATTCAAATTATCCAATCAAGTTCTCTGGGCATTCGCAGTTTTTTTTAAGCTTACCAGTGCAACGCAAAACACGTTCAGCGTAACTATGAACTCCTATGAAAACTGGCCCCTTTATTATACTGGAAACAAAACTTTTCTTACTTCCTTTTTCGTCTGTTATACAACAGTGTTCAGAAAGGCCCTAGTCACATTTGTGGTATTACTTCATTTTTGCTGTCTGCTTCAATAGGGTCGTAAATGGTGGCAAGAGCAAGAAGAACCATGGCAAACATTAGCTTGCTGTCAGGAGATCCTCAGAGCGTTGAATCATGAGGGGGGTCCGGAATCGTTCATCTCACATTTCCCGGTACACCAGGATGGCTCGTGCAACGGGTTACAACACTATGCCGCTCTGGGTCGCGATCGCCGCGGTGCGGAATCGGTTAATCTGACGAACAAGGATTGTCCACAAGACGTTTACGGCGATGTGGTCGAAGTGGTAAGTTTGCAGAATGGAATGATGTGTATTGCTGCGTTCAGGAGTGGTTTTGTATCTTTTTTCTAACCGTTTACATCTGAATTTAACTAATCTGTTTAATTGATCCTTGTGATTGTTGAGCCGTTTCGCGGCACAACTAATAAAACAAAATAGCTGATAGTACACACATTATGTGATCAGTTTATCTGGTTCCAAATAAAGAAATTGCCTTCATCTGATAGAAGCTTTCTGAGCATATTGATATAGTTGTGGGGCATGCGAAAACGTGCGAAGTGTAGTCCTGATATGATGGGGTCAGAGACACCGATTTACTTGGTAACGATTCATATCTGCATCAAACTGTAGTACACGCTGTAGCCCAGCATTTCCCCCACCCCCGAGTTTTTTTATGTATTATTTATTCGTTTGATGGAATTTTTCATGATAAGCTTGCTTATGCGTGCATTGAACGGGATATATCACATAGCATCAAAGGTCCGGATAGCCGCAAACTAGACCCCGAAACTCTCACTGGTGGTGGACAGTAATCCGATTTCACCCGATTAGTTGCCACACCCGACTTAATGGGACCTTATGTGGTTTTCCATGATGAGTCTCAGAATCGCGTTGTCGGTTATCCTTCATTACGCAGTGGTCCTTTTTGGCTGTGGAACGTAACCCCTACACTGCACTCATACACAAGCGTGTAATTGAAAAAAAAACCACCCAATGTACTACGTGTGACAACGAGTCGGGCTTTAGTAGATTGGCACCTATCCCCTTTCCGTAATCCAAAGAAGCTCATCCTATTTTCGTGGTCGTTTTCACTCATTTCCTCCATTTTCATTGGTGTCTCCATCGGTCACCGCAACCCAACGAATTATTGTATAAAGTTGTTCCGCTGTTTGTTGTAATGAAAATGAAACCGATTTCTAAGCACCGGATTGCCTTATTTTTCGCCACTTATTGCATAAATCTTGAAATCTTTCAACTTATTTGTCCCATTTTCTATACTCAGTATTTTTTTATTGTTGACCGTAAGGGTTCACTCCTTAGCATCCTGTTATACATTTAAATGGACCAATAGAGCTGTTGATTTCAGGACTATTCTGCCGCGCTGGGTGAACCTTTAGGATGTTATCGATGTTATCCGCGTGGATTTCTATTCTCTGAATCACTCTTCTATCATAGGTTGAGGCTCAGCGACGTGAAGATGCTGCTGCCGGAGTCCCAGTTGCCCAGATATTGGAAAACTTTGTTCGGCGTAAAGTGATTAAACAGTCCGTGATGACCACCGTCTATGGTGTGACACTATACGGCGCCTCGGAACAGATTCGGAAACAACTCCGAGACTTGAATGATTTTCCAGGACGCGATTGGATCGGACCGGCCGCATCTTATCTAGCCCGATCTACGTTGACCAGTATCGGGCGTATTTTCACATCATCTGCCGAGATTCAGGCTTGGTTCGGACAGGTCAGTTGTTACGCGCTCTATAACCGCACCAGTACTTTTTTTATCACGATTTCCTTGCAACTTCGTAGAGGGGTAACTACGTTTTCACTTTCTATTAGTGTTTGAAGTTGAAGCAATGTGAATAACAGGTCAGGGGACCCACCACATTTACGTCTCTATATACTGCTTCATTTTGGTGTTATATGAATCATGCCACCCATAACGTATCTTGACTTTTTCAATCGTCAGTTTAAGTTGGTATGACTGAAGCTTCGACTTCCTTATTCGAATCCCTACTTTTCTGTTGTTTACCGTCCACCTAGCACTGGGGGCTCAACCATCTTCGATTTCATATCTTCCAGTATTTAGCACTTGTTTGTGATAGATCCTAACTGCCACATCACAATCTTACTAGATTTCAATGTTTACAATCGAGATTAGTTGATTCACTCACCAGACGCTTCGGTTCTGGGGCGTGAAGCTGAACGTTTCGCCGTGAACAACTTGTACCAATTAGTTAACCCCGCTGACCGTACACATACCTTTTATATTATTCTCACTTCCGTTCGTTCTCTTTTCTCAAACATTTCCATTCTTTCTCCACTTGGTTCATCTGACCACTGTACTATTTTCTGTTCCATCAGTTTTACTCACCCGGATCCTCCAGCTACCCCATGATACACATTTTGGCTCTACAGTTCAACCAATTAGGACGGTTTTCGCGACTTCCTAGCTTCCTACTCTAGAAACGATTGTTGCTTCACTTCGGACGTTTCCGCTTCCGTCTCGAACTTCATTGACATTATTCTTCAAGGTATACAACCTTCATTCCTAGTTTCCAAACCCAAATCTTCCGAATGGTTCAACTGTTCTGACCCACGCGTTCTTTTCTACGGCCTATGTGGAAACCTGCGCACACAATTCCAACTTGCGACTTCAATCGCTTTGGTCCGCTATAGAAAACCAGAAGACAACAATTCAGCTCACCAAAATAAAAATGTGTCCGTACAGAAATTACTATGTGATATTTAAAGCGAAAATCGAACGTTCCCGAACTCGAGCGTCCAGTTAGGTCCTAGCCTTTTTAGGCTGATTAGGTTGCTAAAAACATTTGTCGGATTGATCATTGATCCGTTGACTCGATTTGCGTCGGACTTTAGATGACTGCTCGATCAGCAAAAGGGGTTTCGCCTTGAGTAATCCGATAAATTGTTGATTATTGATTATTCACTCAGGCCTGACACATTCGAGTTGGATTGATGGCTCGCTTAAAAAAGTATTTTTGTTTTGTTTGCTTTCAACTTTCCAACACCTCCGCTTTTGGCTGTTAGTTGTATTTCTGACGACTGGGATCCAGTTGTAGTCGTAAAGTGACAGGTATAGCATACTCAGTGTCTGATACTTCCTCGATTACGGCATCCTCGGTTGCGCTGGCTGCGATAATGGCTTCGTCATCGTCCCCATGATGATTCGATATTGGGCGAGATAGGCCGTTTGCTTGACCGAAGTTTTCTGTTTTCCGAGATTATATTTCGAAGTCATAGACCAATAGCATCCTAGCCCAGCATTGTAGGCGACGGGCAGAGTAAACCGGAGTGCCTTTTTTGAATCCGAACATTGATAACAACGGTTTATGGTCTATGGGAGACGCAAAATGGCGACCTAAATGAATTTATGGAACTTTTTGGTGGCAAAAATGATGCCAAGGGCTTCTTCCTCGATTCGGCCGTAGTTTCTTTCGATAGATTTCAATGTGCAGGACGCATGAGCCACAGGTTTCTCCGCTCCGTCAGGAAACATATGGGAAATAACAGCGCCAACACCATGGTTGGAAACATTAGCTGCCACGACAGTTGGTAATTTGGGATTGTAATGTGTATCAACAAAAGCTCCGATGTCAGCATCTGCTTTAGTTGGTCAAGCGATGATTGACACTGTTATGACCAACACCAAAGGTGGTCCTTCCGTAGGAGTTGATTAAGAGGTCCCCGGAAGCGATGTAGTTCTGGCAGAAAAGCACTGTAATAACTGATGAATCCCAACAATGATCGGAGCGACGAAATGTCATTTGGGTCTGGCATGCGATGTATTGCTCGTTTGTTTTCCCGATCTGGATGGCGACCATCTGCGTCGAAAACGAACCCGAGGTATTTAATCGTTCTCAAGAAAAATTGGCATTTCTCCTGACGTAATCGGAAATCGAGGCTTAGAATGCGTTGTAAAACTTGTTTCAAGCGGTTTTTTAGTTCGTCGACGGAACGTCCTGTCACAATAATGTAATTTAAGTATGCAACCGTTCCTTTTAGACCTGCTAGCATAGTGTACATTACACGTTGGAAAATTGCTGGGACGGTTTTAACTCCAAATGGCAGACGCGTGAATTGGTACAAGCCACGGTCAGTGTTAATTGTTAGCAGGTGTCGACATTGGGGCGCGACTTCAACTTTGAAATGAGCTTCGGCTAAGTCCAGCCTTGCAAAACAGGTACCACCGTTCAATATTTTGAAAATGTCCTCTGGAACAGGTAGTGGATAACAGTCGGAGTCTAGAGCGGCGTTAAGACTTTTAGATAAATCAGCACAAAGTCTTATGTCTCCGTTTGGTTTTTTCACAACAACGATTGGTGCGGCCCATTCTGAAAACGTGACTAGAGTTAATATCCCAAGGTCCTCAAGACGTTTAGGTTCTTCGTCGATTAATGGCTGAGCTGCATGCGGCACTGGGCGTATGGCACTAAATACCTGCTGAGTGTTCTATTTGAGCTGTAACGTAGCTTGGAATTGTGTACTCAGGCCTATGCCTTCTTGGAAAACAAGGGCAAATTGTTGAATCAGTTGATCTGTTAACGGAGCTGCAGACGTTACTTGCATTTGGCCGCGAAAGCTGTTGATGGAAAGGTCATTTAGACCGAGCTCGTCAGTCCAGTCTTCTCCCAGTAGGTTAATGTCGGATTTGGTGATGAAACAGGTCGCGGAAACTGTCTTGTCGCGAAAAGTCACAATACACTGAAGTTGGCTGGTAAGTTTTAATGAGCCCCTGCAGACGCTAGTTGCGGTTAATGCGGTAGGCTGGATTTCTGGTTGGCCGATTTTGGCCCACGGGTCTTCTGATATGACAGAAATGTCGGATGCTATATCTAGCTAGAGGCGAACATAACGGTCATTGATGTAAACATTAACAAATTTTCAAAGTGCCGCCACCTGCGGCCGCGACTTTATGACTAACCCGTAGGAGTGCACGGACTACTGATCAGCTTTGAGACGTGGTTTTGGTGGGTTGTATGTTCATTTTCCTTGGAATCCTTGATGTTGGCAAAAATCATTTTTGTGTCCGAACTGATGACAGCGTTTGCATCGGTTGTTCTTGAATCATCATCATCATCATCATCGTACAGCGTTAAACAGTAGGGCAAGCCCCAGTGACCACTGCCTTTCTCACCATATTGCACGTTGAATTAGAAAGTTTGAATATACAAGATGGACAGGGAGTGGACCTACACGGGTGGGAAAAGGAAAGAATGCCCTAGTAGCCAACACACGGAATACACAGCCTAAATGTACAAACGCACATCGATCAGTCATTCTGATTCGATAGAAAGTGACAACACGATCGCTACTGCTCGCGGTTCTCTGCCATATCCTTCAGTGTCTCCAGCTAATTGGTTGAGGGATCTTTTGGACCCCAACCACGAAGGCGTGAAGTACCTACTTTTCCTAAGTCTGCTGTACATTTTCTCATTCCTCGGTGCCACGTCATCTGTTGACCTCCACGTGGTTTTTTCCACTCCCTAGGAGGGGCGGAGAATAGGACACGGTACGGTAGACGTGTGTTTGACATCCGAAAAACGTGCCCCAACCAACGAAGTCTACTAAGCTGGATACGCTGTGACAGAACGTTCTTTGAATTAGTACCCAATACTCGCTTTCTGACTTCATCATTGCTCACTCAACTATTCCACCCAATCCTAGCGATATCACGCTAACATCGGTGATCGAAAACCTCAAGACGACGAATATCTTCAGCGCACAGACTCCAAGTTTCGCAACCATACAACAAAACTGAACGCACTGCAGCACAGTATACACGACCTTTCAACTTCAGTGAAATATCAGGTTGACGCCACAAGTGCTTCAGTCCAGCGTACGCCACTCAAGCCTTGGATATCCGCGTGCTCACCTCTACTACTGTGCTCCCATCCGTTGTCACGCAGCTACCGAGGTAGGTGAAGTGGTCGACAACTGACAGCACCTCCCCATCGAGCATCAAGCTCGGAATTGTTGACGTCCAGTCTTGTAACATCACTTTACACTTTGAAGGTGCGAAGCGCATGCCGATTGGAGCTACAGCTCTCGCGAGTTTATCTAGTGCACGCTGAGCATGTTCCGTGGACTCGAACAAGCAGACAACGTCGTCTGCGTAATCTAGGTCACATAGCTTTTCACTATTTCCTAGTTCGACGCCTACATCCTGAAGATTTTGCAATACACTGTCCATTATTTTGTCCATGACGAAGTTCAGTAGGAATGGAGACAAAGGGCATCCCTGTCGAACATCACTGGTCGTTTCGAGCCGACCGGCTAGTTCAGCGTAAACCCTAACGCGGCCAGAAGTATGAGAATACAATGATCTCAGTAGGTTCACGAACTTCTGGGGCATACCTTTTCGATGAAGAACACTGAAAAAGGATGTTCGATCAAGTGGATCGAAGGCGTCTTTCAGGTCTAAGAAAAGCATTATTGTCGGTCGGCGGTGCGTGTGACGCGTTTCAAGTAGTCGGCGAAGAGTAAAAATCTGGTCGATGGATCCTCGACCTGGACGGAATCCTGCCTGCTGTTCGCGGACATTCCTCTCGCGAGCGGGTGTAAGACGATGCAGCACAATCGAAGCTAGTACTTTGGTGACTATCGGGATTACGCTAATCCCACGATGATTACTGCAGTCATTGTGTATTCCCTTCTTGAAGATGGGAACAATCAATGACTCACTCCATATTAACGGAATACGCTCCGCGTTCCAAATGT